GTGTGTGTGTGTGTTTGAGGGGAATGTTCAATCCTGGTATTATAGTGACATATTGCAAAGGTTACATTGAAGGCCTGAAAAATGTACCACAAAGATGCCCCTCCATGTGCATGATTGAATATTTATTATAGAGCAAGGGTTGTCCAAAACAATTTGAAAGGGATTTGATACCACAGTAAAGTCCCCTCTTCTCTTGTAGGCATGGATGACTTCAGTTACCTTCACACTAACTGTTTTGAGCTGTCAGTTTTCCTTGGCTGTGATAAATTTCCTCACCAGAGTGAACTTTTAAGAGAGTGGGAGCACAACAGAGAAGCCCTACTGACATTTATGGCTCAGGTGAGCTGCTCACTTTCATTTCATGAGAACAGAACATACATTTTTTAATATATAATAAAAATTTATTTTTTTCATTTTTTCAATACTAAAGAGTCTTATTCACGACTAGGCCAAGTCTAGATTCTCCATAAAATTTGCTATTAGACCCTTATGGCCCGTTTCCACTGAGTGGTACGGTACGGTTCGGTACGCTTTTATGGCCGTTTCCACTGTCGAAGTTTACCTAAAAGTGAACCGTACCGTACCACTTTTTAGTCACTCTTTGGAAAGGGTACCAACAGGCCCAAAGGGTACTATAATGCGGAGCTAGACGTGCAGCTGAATGCTATTGGTTTACAGAGATACGTCACTCGCAGAAGCAGGAGAATAAAAACAAAGGAAGCGACATTTTTAAAAACACAGCCGAGACATTACACTGTATTAATATATACACATAATAACAAGCCATGGTCGACCCGAGCTCAAACAAACCTTGTTGTCGTCTTGATGTAAAGCCACAAAGCCAAGAAGAACAAAATCTGATGTGTCCTGTTGTTTTATTTGCCCGTCTAAAGCGTTTTCACGTTCTGCAGAGAGCTTGCAGCGCATCCATATTTGATATAACAAACTTCTTGAGCTCATATTAATAATGTGCGTGTGTGTATCCGATCCTGTCAGAACAAGATAAACGCGAGAGTGAAGCGCAAAAAAACTAAAGAAGAGCCGGAAAAAAGCAGCAAATGTTGCATCTGCAACCTAAAACATGAACAAACTGCCATGTTTAACTAGTATCATCACCTTATGAACTCAGAATGACGAAATTACTTTCTAACAAGAGGATAAATGTGCTGCTGAAGATTAAAGACACATATTAGAGGTTTGCACTGGCTGTGGGCTATATATTGTGTTGTTTTTAAACCCAACAAAGCACTAAATGTATGCTGTGTGTAGTTTTTCTGTAATTGGTAACATATCGGAGACTGTAAGGGTCTGTATGTGTTCATATATGTTGCATTTGTTTATTTATTTATTTTATATAATCGCAGAAGTTACAATAGGCTATTTCACACTCAATGATCTGCAGTTATAATCAAATTATGTTCATAGGAAGGTTAGTAATGAACATTTTACACAAGTCTTTGTCTATAAAGCATCTGTTTTGTGAGAAGAGCTTCTCATATGATATGTGAACAACCCTTAAGGCTTTACTGTGACATTTCCTCGAGTAAAATATACGCAAGCTTGATAAAGGTGATGCATACAGAACCAAAGCATGCCCTACCGAAACGGGCTATTCCTTCAAATAAACTTGTCTGGTCTTCCTCAAAGTCAAGTATTTCATCCCTGCCTGATGCAACTTTTTTATGAATGTTCCAGGTTCATCGGGGTATTAAGGGAGTTGTGAGGGATAATGAAGGCAACCCTATTACCAATGCCACTGTGTCTGTGGAGGGAGTCAACCATGATGTTAAGACTGGTAAGTTATGTTCTGTAGTTCTCTACATTGTAATGCTTGTAGAGTACAAAGGCGCTTTTATAAATACTTGATGAAATACTAAATGTTTTACACATAGGTGAAGCTGGAGATTACTGGCGACTTCTAAACCCTGGTGAGTACCGGGTAACAGCCCGTGCAGAAGGCTACTCTCCATTCACCCGTCTGTGTGTGGTAGGGTTTGACCCTGGTGCCACTCTCTGCAACTTTGACCTGAACAAGTCAAACTGGGACCGCATCAAACAGATCATGGCTCTTCATGGCAATAAACCAATCCGGTTGCTGAGCAGTGGCAGCAGGAACGGTGTGCGACATTATTCACACAGCAGTAACCAAATTCCTGTCAGTAATAGTGGAGATATGAGCAGGGCTCGTCTCCGTCGATTACGACTAATGAGAATTCGTCGTTTACGTCAACAAAGGCTTCTGGCCCAAAAAATCATACCAACTACAACAACTGTGACTACCACTTCACTTCCAACTACCGCAGAGACTACAACCGTCTGGTATGACTCCTTGCCAGAAATCTTTGAAGAGAATACAACCCCACATGAAGAAATTGAGTTGACAGATACACTGGACTACAACTACAACTACAATATAAATGATTACTAAGAGCAAACTCCAAATGAATGTTTTGCTCTGAAGATTGTATTTGACCATTTCTTTCTCTCACCTAAACAGTGTAAGGCAAGTGTATGGGGAGATTTTTTATCAGGTTCAGTGATTTGTGCAAAAGTTTCTTTTCATTTAATAAATTCTTATATTCATATTCTCACTGTTGTTGTTTTGCATTACAGCACTATTTCGCTAGCTGGAGGTCACAATTTCCATTTGGGGTCACCAAAGTTTTATGAAAAGTCTGCAAACTTAGATTGGAATGAAACTGGCAAATAACTAATCAAATTCTACATTACCTGGCGACTTACTATACATATTTTGTTGCTAAACTTGAGTAGATTTTTTAGTATTAGTAGTAGACATACTGTACTCATACTGTAGTTTTTTGTTTGTTTCGATTTTTTTAAATTTCTTTCTACTGCTTACATTTTCAAACCAGGCTAATTACTTTTCTGTTTATGTTTTTAATCTGTGGCTAGACAGGTATTACTTCTCATTGGTTAACCTCAAATAGTGGACATCATATATACAATAATTTTTTAAAAAGAGATGTTTCCACTCCCCTTCGTTATGCAATCTTTTATTTTGGAAAAAATATCTGCTTTAAATTCCTCTAGTTTTGTTTTCATCAAAAACAGTTTTAGTCAGATAGACAGTAGACACTATAGTTTGACAAATATTACTGCGGTTAGACAATAGTATATTAATTTTAATAAATATAAAATTTTAGTCGAGAATGTAGTTGTTTACATTGCAACTTTGCAGTTTATTTGCAAGAAGAGTGCCTCTTTTAAAATATTCACAATTTCTTAGAGTTCGTTGGAAGCTTGAAACGATTGACGTTGTTTATCCACAAGATGGCGCCAAAACCGCGTAACAAGCCCTTGCTCAGCGTGTTCTCTTGAGCGCGAATAAAAAGCTGAAAACCGGAAGCCTCGTGGTTTTTAAGGTAGACCGGATAGAGTCAATAAGTAGCTGTGAATAAGAAGCTGGATTCAGCCTTGTCCCTCCTTATCGCAAACACAACAGCAGTCTGGTGAGAAATCTCTGTAGACGGATGGCATTTCATGTCATGTTCAACCTTATAATCTTAAAATGTGAGCAAATTTTGCTGTTTTGTCATCATCTTAGGGGGGTCACACACCAGAAGCGCCGCTTCAATTTACGCTATACAGAATCATTTAAATACTAGCTCTAAAGTAGCGTTGCTGAATTAGTAACGGCTTCTGCTGTTCTGACGTCAGCTGCAGATATGAATCAGTTGCAGAAGAAAGTAGTTCCTAATGCAGAAGGGTTTTAGACTCTGTGTTTGATTTTCTTTTTTATGTTCAAGATTGTACATAAGTCACCATAAGTTTCAGTAGTCAGAAAGTACAAGAGGTAGAATCACTCTATAGTATGTGGCCTGTAATGATGGCAACTGTCTAGCGTGTAGCGTTAGAAGCATGTAGTGTATTTTGCTTTGTGTGAAAATATGTTGAAAGCCAGTGCCACGTTTTCAACTGAATGCTTAGGGAAATTAAATGAATTTAAGTATGAATGAATTATATTAATATGAATATGATGGGAACTGACCATCTTGGAAAAGTAGTATTAACTTTATAACACAGCACATAAGATAAGATTTAAAAGGTAGTGCTTTGTGCATAGAGGTTACAAGTGTCATTCTATAAGCACCATCTACTGTCACCATCTACTAGCACCATCTATATACATATCAATTTATTTGTTTTATTTATGTGTTTAAAATTTATGCTAGGATCTTTAGAGGGTACGGCAGGGGTGTCCAAACTCAGTCCTGGAGGGCCGATGTCCAGCAGATTTTAGCTCCAACTTACTTCAACACACCTGCAAAGATGTTTCTAAACTGCCTAGTACAAGGGTGTCCAAACTCAGTCCTAGAGGGCCGGTGTCCTACAGATTTTAAATCCACTTCCCTTAACACCTGAATGGATGTTTCTAGAAAGCCTAGAAAGAGCTTGATTAGCTAACTCAGGTGTGTCTGATTAGGGTTGGAACTAAACTTTGCAGGCCACCGGCCCTCAAGGACCGAGTTTGGACATCCCTGGTGTACGGGGAGAAAAAAAAAAAAAAAGGAAACGATGGCATTGACATGTTTAACACCTGATGATGGAAAAGCAGAAGAAAACGCATATGACATTGTAAAAATAATAATGTTGTCAGTTAATTAATCATACAGTTTAGAGTATAACTAAATGCAAAAAGGAAATACTGTTAAATATTAAAAATAACATTTACTTCCTTACTCCTGGTTATGAGCTGTGTACATCACATGTGCTGTATACATCATATACAGCTGTATATATTAAAGTACAGTAGTTTATTTAGAGCAAAATAAAGACTGTATGTATGCCAACATTATTCAGATTGCCTAGCCTGTTAGAGTTTGATTATATCTAAAAAATGAATAAAAATGTCTTTTGTCATGCACCTACAAATATGGTGGCTGCAAATTTACCAAACAGCAAACAACAGAGGGCTTCCACAAACCAATTTCAAATATGTGCACAGACAAATTCTATTAAACTTTTAAGTTTATTTTTTTACAATAAATATTGTTTCAAAGCAGCTGCACAGAAAATATTTCCGTTTTACAATCAGAACGGAAAACTGGTCAAAGATGTTATGTACAAAGTAATATTCAAAGTAATGCTCATATAGTGGCTATGTAGCATATATCAATAGGAAAACATGCTTTAATATATATTATCATATTATATCATATCATGTATTTTGTAATGGTAATGTCACATTAACAAATAATCCAAAACCATCTGCTTCATTTTAACATTTGACCACATCCGAAGCAAATGTGTTTTTTCCTCTGTAAGGTAATAATTAACATACATATAATATATGAAAGTGTTGTATACATACCCAACATTGGCATCATCTCATATTTTCCCAAAGTTTTTTTCCATAAAAAAAGAAAATGAACAATTGGGTTTATGTGGTTATCACATGTTCCTCATGTCTATTGTTCGAAATGAATATAACTATTACTACATCTTTCAAACTGAGCTCAGTAAATGAATAAGTCAATGTTTTTGATGACATCACACTCACAATTTACTTCTTCCCTGTGCATCAAACTGAAGCTCATTTAGTACGAGATCACACAGTTCATCTCATCAGACAGATCCTCATCGAAGCGTCCGGTTGGTTGCCCTGCCCTTCCTCTACATAAAAGGTCAGTTGCGGCGTTCTCCATTTCATCAACAGTCATTTGACAGGCATCTGCAATCTCCCGTTTTGCGAAGTCAACAAATTTGCGGTCTTTGGCATATAGACCCAAGCCTTCAGAAATCAGAATCTAAAAGACAGGGAAAAACCACAAGACAAAACGAATGTCAGACCAGATGTTGCACAGAGACGGTCCTATTTTTGATCTTAGACAATTTGAGGACAAAAAGGATGACAAAAAATTTGCCTAGGCCTTTTTATACATACAGTTCAAGGCAATATTTTTAGAATTGTTTTCCAACCTAATAAATAAAAGAATTAAAATGATAAAGTTCCACCATAATGAGGTGGATTAAAAACATCTGTTAAAGGGTCACGAAACACCAAAACACATTTTTTGAGCTGTTGACAGTCGTATATGTGTCCCACACTGCTATAAACACTATTAGGACACATATATTTCACTAAAAAGTGTAAATTGGTTGTTTTTGCGGTAATTCAAGCAAATTCGTACTTCCGGTTTGAAACAAATTTTTGAAGCTGCGTCACGGTCATGACATAATAGCGTTGTATTCCAGCGTGCAGACTGGGCGTCTGTGCCAGAGTGTGTCTTATTACGTCTTACAGTGAGATGCATTAATGCATGAGTAAGGCTTGGTTCAAACCAATCAGCGCGCTCTATTGTGCAACTTCATTAATATTCATTACTGTCACAGTGTTTTTACGACAGAGACGCCACGTTGTGTTGGCAAAACAAGCGTGAAGTGTTGCTTTTATAGTTTGCTGCCGTTAAGTTTTGTTTTCATTTTCTCTCTGTGAGAGTGCAGCTGGAGTCACGTGTGGATTAAACTGTACGCGACGCTCGACAACAATAACTTACGTGTCTAAGGAGGATTATTGTTTACCTGAGAGCTGTTCTCATTTCCAAACGCTGAGATCTGGATTCGTTTGTAGTATTCTCTTCATAAAGACGCGGCTCTAGTTACTGGTGATTGTCCTGTCTCTACAGATTTGGTAAGTGAGCGACCAGTGCTCTTTGTTTATTCAGTTTGCTCGTATCGAACTAAGTTAACTATTGCACAGAGTCACTGAGTGTAAACACGTTAGCATCACAACCAAACTTTAACCTCGTGTAGGGTTTTTATCGCATTTAGTGACCGGAATAACACATGCGGCTTTCTGACGCTACCTGCCGTGTGCATCTAAGTTTCAGGGAAATGCGGAGGTTTTTTTTCTCTCATTCGCCGTGCGGTATCAAACATTGCATGAAAAATACACGCTTACAGCAGTTTCTCGAATCAAATATCTCGTTTGTCGCGAGGGGCATGAATGAATTCCCTGAATGAAAGAGCCAAACTGCAGTTAAAGTCCAACATTTAATAATTTGGCAAATAATTCGACTACAGATGTCCATGTAGGTTAAACACCATCACTTTCTCCTGTCTGTGTATTTTGACTCTGAAACTCGCGCGTGCCCAAATACACTCCCACACCATGCCTCTTTTCTTCCTCCGACACTCCCCCCTAAACAGAGCTGGACACACCCACTTTTCTGACTTTTTCCAAAGTAGAGGTGTGAAAACACCCTGCTAAAACGAGGGGGTTTCATGGCCCTTTAATACACGAGAGTGACCAGCTCTATGAAAATTGCCACCAGTGTCACCAGCACTGTGTTTTATCACTGAAGGTTCAGCACAGAACCACAGACAATTCAGACAACTCATGTAGGACTCTGACACAGAGTATGGTGATTTACTGATGCACCAAAATGGTCGTCTTCATAAGATTCACACTTTCCTGGACAGCAAAGGAAAACAGAAGCCAAAGCTGGAAGACAGCTATCTGACATTGCCTGTTGCCTGAGCACTTTCAGCATGCAGTTTCCTGGAAGAGATAAGCTTCCAAAAGCCTGCTCAATGCCATTAGAGCATTTCAGAACAAAAGAACTGCCCTGTACATGTCTGACAGAGAATTCAAATGACCCATTTTTCTGCACCAGCCACATTAGGGGACAAACTAAAACTTTTGAAAATAGCTAACAAGGATATGACTGAGCACAAAGAGACTCAAAACCACTTCCATATAGGTAAATTGCACTGTAAACCCTGCTGTTGACATTACTAAATATATTAAGCTAATATAACTTGACATTACTTAAATGACAAGTTTTGGCATTAAAAACCTAAACAGGTGTGTTTAACTAACTCATTAGGCAGTATCATTAATTATTTCATTCATTTTCTTTTCGGCTTGGTCCCTTTATTAATCTTGGGTCGCCTCAGCAGAATGAAACGGCAACTTATCCAGCACGTTTTACGCAGCGAATGCCCATCTATCTGCAACCCATCACTGGGAAATACACACTCAATCACACACATACACTACAGCCAACTTAGCTTATTCAATTACCCTATAAGCCATGTCTAGACTTGTGGAGGAAACCGGAGCACCCAGAAAAAAACCCAGGCGAACACAAGGAGAACAAGCAATGCCAACTGACCTAGCCAAGGCTCAAAACAGCAACCTTTTTGCTGTGATGCAATTGTGCTGCCCACTGCGCCACCGCAACACCCCATTAGGCAGCAAAAAACTTTAAATGAATATTTAAGTAATAATTAATAAATTAAGTTCACTGAACCTAACATTTTTATTTCTTTAAACGATTCACCTTGTGCCTGTTTCAAATGATTGGTTGCGCTCAAAAATCTGCCTTGACAACCGCGCTGATTGGTGGATATATGTTATATGACACAAGTTGGTCATTTTGCTTGTGAAGCTGAATTTTGCTGAAGCGCAGCAGGACAGAGGCACTACCTGAACCAAATTAGTAAGTAGATATTTAAATGCTCATATACATTTTTCTTAACTGATATACCAGCATGGGTGTCATGGTGGCGCAGTGGGTACCACGATCGCCTGACAGCAAGAAGGTTGCTGTTTCGAGCTTCGGCTGGGTTGACGAGGGTTTCCTCCAGATGCTTCAGTTTTCTCTACAAGTCCAAAAGCATGTGCTATAGGTGAATTATCCTCATTCATTCATTTTCTTGTCGGCTTAGTCCCTTTATTAATCCGGGGTCGCCACAGCGGAATGAACCGCCAACTTATCCAGCAAGTTTTTACGCAGCGGATGCCCTTCCAGCCACAACCCATCTCTGGAATAGGTAAATTAGGTAAGCTAAATTGTTTGTAGTGTATGTTCGTATGTCCTGGTCCTCCAGCTTGGGGGTTGTTGACCTTATGACCCACCTCGTAAAAATTAGATGTTATGAAACACCAACATGGTGCGGCTAAGTATCAACTTTGATATAAATGCTGGGAGTAAGTAAAGAATATAAAAGCTGACAATTTGGAAGTTTAGGGCCCTATCATACACCCAGCGCAATGTGGCGCAAGGCGCAGCGCAATAGTCTTTTGGTAGTTTCAGCTTGGCGCAAGAGTCGCTTTGAGGCGTTGGGCTACGCTGTTTAAATAGCAAATGCATTAGCGCTCATATGTGCGCCCATAGGCGTTCTGGTCTAAAAAGGAAGGCGTTCTGTGGCGCACTGCTGGCGCGTTGCTATTTTGAGAAACTAAAATAGATTTTTCATTAGACCAAAACAAACCCGCTCTAAACTTCGGCGCAGAGTTGTACCTCGCTTACACACTTGTTGCTTAATACGCACAAGAGAGCAATAGGCAAATATCTTTACATATGAAAAACTGTAAATATTAAGGATATATGTATAGGATATAATAAGAATAGATATAGGATATACATATAAAGGATTCAAATATTACAAAACATATTTTCTAGCCTACATAAATATGAAAAATCACTGCTTTTATGTCTCGGGAGGCTTTTTTCAGTTCATTCATAACAATTTGCTTTTGTATAATGTTATTATTATTAGCAATATTATTTATTATATCCATATTTATATTTGTTTTATTAAATACAAGCTTAGATTTGCCCACCTGTCAGGTTTTAGACCATATGGGGCACAGCATGTGTTTTAGGATATAACCCAGGTTTTTGAGCACATTTTGCTATTATTATTCATTTATTCGTTTGCTGGAAATTAGAACTGAATTTAGAAATAGTTTTGAAACCAATATTTGCGCTTAACAAACGCAATTATTTATTTATAGACTAATTGATGTCTGTGCGTAAAGGCTTCCCTATCCAAGAGTGAAAGTGAAAGTATATCCATTATCTCTCATTCTCACGCAGTAGATGCTCTGTTCAACAGTTTTCTGTTAAAAAAAACTGTTAACTGTTAACTGTTTGCTAGTGAAATGCTCATTTTTTCCACTAAGACTTACTTTACGTCCTGTAAATAGCGAATGCGCTTATGGCGCGACGCAGCTGGCTTTTAAAGGGAATGGGAGATGAGACTCTAATTGGTTTATTCCCAAAACACACCTATAACTCATTAAGAAAATAAACTCAACCCTTTTAGACTATGCGCCGCGGCGCAAAGCCGATTTTCCTGTCCTTAAATTAGCAAAAGTGCGTTCTGACACGCCCTGAAAGCGTTTGCGCCCTGCGTTTTGCACTCTGCGTTTTGCGCTCTGCGCATGGACCGTCAAAATAGAGCCCTTAGTCTATTACTCATTTTAAGTTACCTGTACTTAAACATTTCATTTATCTGTAATTAAACATTTAAGTGAATTCAGTGAATTCAATTCATTTAGTTGTCAATTTCCCATTAATTAAATAAACTGAGTGAATCACTTTCCTCAAATCATTTGAGTATTCTCAACTTTTTTACTATCACTCTGCTCTGCCGTAACAGAACAACTTTTCTTTCAGTAATGTTCAATATTAAGCAGCCTTTAAAAAATGTTCTTAGAACATTAGCCCAAAAACTTTATACATTGTTAGTTTTTTACATTGTTTTTACAATGTTTTTTTGTTCAATAAAACTTTATGAAATTTGTTCATTAAAACATGTTTACGATTATAACGGCAGCTTCAGATGAACATAATTTTGTGCTGTTTTAAAAGAACATTCATGAAATGTGGGAAGGTTTTATAGCCTGTGCCAAACAGTCTTTATGTAGATATTATACAAGTTAACTCTTCCCCAAAAATTACATAAAGGTTATGCAAGAGTGTTGTGATTGCCAGTGGAGTTGTCTCAAATAATTATTAAACTGCATTTGGATCCGCAAGTCTGTTGTGAAGCAGACGCTGAGAGCAGACTTGTGGATCCAAATGCAGTTTACTAATCATGGCCGTACAGGCAAGATTAATAAACAGGAGCAAAACAGTATCATACGGGTAATTCAAAAGATGAGGTCAATATGCAGGCGAAAGGTCAGACTATGTGGCAAAGAATCAAAACCGGAAACAGAGCAAGAATCAAAACACAGAGAAAACCAACCAGGAAAACTCTTAGTAATGTTTGTACTGAAACCAGACTCAGCCATGTGTGGATAAAGGTGAGGTGTGTATATAGATCAGGGGTGGGCAAAATGTCCTGCATAGTTTAGCTCCAACTCTAATCAAACACACCTGAACATGCTAATCAGTGTCTCCAAGATCACTAATTATCTATTAAGCTGCGGTCACAATGGGCTTTTTCTCCCATAGACTTCCATTCATACGCATGCGAATGCGTCAGATCGGAAACGCAAGGTCATGCGTCAAGTTTTGCAGGTTGCTGCGGTGCAAAGTTCAAGCTTGGTGAACTTTGTCCTGCAAAATCGCATCACTTGACTGCGTGAGACCAATTGAGGATCAAAACATGACCTCTCTGAACAGAAATTTAAAATGGAGCAATCGCTTGCTTTTTTAAATGTCTAATAAACTTGTTTAATCCCGCTCCTTTTCGCAGCGCCGCACGACAGAATATCTCATGCTCAAACTCTAATCTGACCGCAGCCTAAGCAGGTGTGTTTGATCAGAGTTGGAGCTAAAATGTGCAGGACATCAGCCCTCCAGGATCAAGTTTGCCCACCCCTAATATAGTTTCGTAATTAGTGTAGATGAGCAGCAGCTGTGTCTGTGTGCATGTGTTCGGATTATTGTCAGCTGTTGCAGGTGTTGATGAGCCCAAGCGCTTCTGGGAGTTGGAGTTCGTTTAGCGGTAATCTCCCATATAGGAAACCCCGTTGGCGATTGCCACAAACTACAGACAACTCCACTGGCAATCACAACAAAGAGTAAAATTACACATTTTCAAACAAAAATAACGACATAACTATATACTGTATTGTTAATTCTTTTTATGCTCTAAATATTGGCAGAGAATGTTTTTAAACATCATAACAAAAAAAGAAAAAAAACATCTTAAACAAAAAAGTTTCTTGTACATTTGTCTCTTTCAAAGTCGATTTGCTCTATGGTAAAAGTTGTAAGTTGTAAGCACTTCATGATTTTGCTAACGATGCAATCCTGGATTAACATCTATGTTGATCATGGAACATCATTTTTGTTCAAAAATGTAATCCATACCTATTCCCCACCCCTAAACCAAACTATAGCAGCAAATTATTCCCAAAATCATAGGAGAATAATAGTTGGATAACTATAATGTAGAAGTGCATAAATTTAACCGTAAGCCTAAAGGTAACAAAAATGATAAACCTATCCCTTAATTCTGATTGCCTGATTGGATTGTTGTTCCAGGATCAACATAGATGTTAATCTAGTACATGTCCTACTTGGGGAAATAAGGTTGGTGGAGACAGGCTTATCTGGATGTTACTATTGTAACACCATTGTCTAGTTAGGCCTGTGTTCAAAGACGGCCACTGTACAAAAATAAAAATCCTAATTACTAAAAAAACAAAAAAACAATCACTATTATTTATTTTCAGACAAGATCATTTAAAAAGCTCATACCGATTCCACAAGACTGTCAGCGCTTCCTCTCTCTATATATCCAGGGCTGTTTTGCGATGGCACCCTGAGAGTAGTGTATGCTCGAGGCTGCTGGGGCACACCTGCCATTGCACTACCAAGCCACCCCGGACGTGCTGATGCTGGAAGAGTGGTGCTGCCATTGGTGTCACTCCACATTGCCTGAGTGCCCCCCACCTCGTTCACCAAAATGAGGGGCGCATAGAGGAGGCGACCCCGTCTAGCCTGGTTGTTAGCCCAAGAAGCTGAAGAAATCCCAGAGGAAATGCTGCTCCGTCGTGAGTCAAAGCTGTTGTGTGTCTGTTGAGCAGAGTCAATAAGATTTTTAGTAGAAATCCAATAGTATGATTACAACAGATCTTATATTTGACAAAATGTCACTTGACCGTTTAATATTTTATTATTATTTTTTTTTTTTTGAGAGTAAAAATTTTGGAGAATACCTGTGTTATCTGAGCGCGAGCCCTGCAGGGTGGGGAGTTTTGATGATATGTGCCAGGGACTGGGAGATCCTCATTACTGCCCTGCCTTCGCAAACACTGAATGTTAAAGTTTGGCTTCCGGCCTAACATAAAACAGGAAAAGAAAGGTTAATATTAGGGTCAAGTTTTATTTCTTTTTTATTATTTTTTTGGGTGCAGAAATAATAGGTAGTTTTACCTAATGGTGTTGGGGGAAGCATTCTTCGCCGTGCAGCAAAACCATTGCCACTGTATTCATTATTGTTGTATCCATTACCATTGAATCCATTACTATTGTAACCATTACCATTGTAGCCATTGGTGCTATAACCGTTACTGGAGCAACGATTGCCTGGATAATCAGTTCCATTGGTACCATTCCCATTGTAGCCATTTCCAGGGAAACTGCCATTGTAGTTGCCAGCATCTTGGATGTTTCCTTGGTAACCATTGCCGTTAAGGTTGATGGGCTGAACTGGAGCCACACATTCAGTGGTCCTATCAGGTACTACAGCTTGTGTTGGCGGAACTTCAGGAAACCACTGTCTGTTAAAACAACCACAAATATTTATATATGAGATCATTTGTAAAGTATTCCACATGTTGTTTAAATCATGTTAAGGACCATATGAGTTAACTTATTTGCCCTGGAATTTGCAAACAACTAGTGCAGTCAAGTTATTGTACATCCCATTTATTTACTGTATACTGTATGCAATGGATAATTCACAGCTATATGTGCAATGAGGCATTATAATGCATGCTAGTGGTCGTTGATCTTTACAAAACAATACCTTGACTGAAGAGAAAAAGGTTATTTTCATCAGTTACATTAGATTTTTACCTATAACCGTGGTTCTTAGTAATTAATATAATAATAATTGACAACAGGCTGATGGAATATTTAGAAAGTAGTGCATACCTGAGGTGATGATGAAGAGACCTATCTTTGGAAAACATTATTGTTTATTATTTCAAAAGTCTGGAGTTAATTAATTAATCTTAAATTAGTTCTGTCTGGTTCTTGAATCTGATTGGTTGATAGCCGTGTGATATTCTGCCAGTAACAGCACTCATCCAGCCTCTTAACCCTTTACCCTTGTGTATTACTACGCCCACATACAGCAACAAGGAGAGAACACTCTACAGTTTGACAAATATTGTTGCTGGATAATAGACAACATCATGTACTTTTGAGGCTTTTTTAGTTGAGAATGTAGTTGTTTAAATTGCAACTATGCAGATTATTTATAAGGATAGTGCCTATTTTAAATATTTATACTTCTGAGAGACAGCGCGTCAGTGGCTATCAGCCTGTCATTGAGCAGAGCAAAGACTTGATGTTGTTCATCCACAAGATGGCGACAGAATCCCCTAGAGCAGTGGTTCTCAAACTGTGGTATGCAGGCTTCCTTCTAGTGGTACGCGGAGGAATGAAATGTCAGGTACATGCTATACACATTTCAGAATTTATGAAAAATTATGTATATAATATGCCAATATGACAAATAGCCTATATTTCTGAGGTAATCTGCCACGTTTATTTTTAACTTTGCAGAGTTGTAGCTGCTTTACTGGGCCTACTACGCTACTGTATGTCAATACTGCTCATTTTGGTGGTACTTGGAGAGACAATTTTTTTCCTAAGGTGGTACTTGATGAAAAAAGTTTGAGAACCACTGCCCTAGAGGATAAAAAACAATGTCATTTCTACAGCCCATCAAATCATTTTTAAATGGGTAAATGGCAATCTAAGCCGATCACCCTCTTTAGAATGCTGTAGTGCTGTTTTTATATCATATATTTGTAGTGTATTTAGTGTGAGATGGAACTCGCATATCAGGAATGTGTGTTTTTTGTGTTGGCCACTTTTGTATAACCCTGAGTTACTTTTTGGTTGGCCATCTGTTTGTTTATAATGTGTCTCCTGTTCCGATACGGCATGCACTAAATTCCAGGGGTTTCATTACCACGACGTAAAATGGGCGTGGCTAGGTCGCTGTTTGGGAAACGCCCCCTTAAAAATAAAACAATACTGAGAGGTCACCGATCATGCGCAGTACAGGTTCTTTTTTAGCGCGGTCATTTCAAACAGGATGATTATGGATAAAGAACCTACCGCGGTGGATAACGAAGGAAAAAAACAATCATACAGGTTATTTTTTTGTTGTTATAATGTTATATTTTAAAGATTTCATTAGCAAGAACAGCTGACCTCGTTTTAATCCGTTTTACTGTCTCTGGGCTTTTGTACTTCCATTTTAAACCAAATAATAATGGTTGTGGTAAGGTTAACCGTGTTTTTGTAGTTTAAAATATGGTATTCAGTCATGTTTAAACAAATAAATACCACATTTTCTGTAATAAATCGTGGTTAATTTTTCTTTCTCGATCTTAGTTAATTAACATAACTCATATTTATTTTCTATTTTTATTTAAAGTCATCATACACAAAACACCTGGGATCAGGACAGGTATCTGATGTCAACTAATATAAAAGTGATCATACATGAAACCCCTGGGATCAGGACAGGTATCTGATGTTACTGTATATAATATAAAAGTGATCATACATGTAACCCCTGGGATCAGGACAGGTATTTGATGTTAATATATATAAAAGTGATCATACATGAAACCCCTGGGATCAGGACAGGT